GCCTCCAAATGCCTCCAACAAGTCGGTGTTCGTTCACTTCGTTCACTTTGGCGCTCTACGAGAGAAACTGGACCAATGAACCCATCTGCTCAGCGCTTCCGGCTCAGCTTCCGGCTCTTCCCCCGCGGTCGTGGGCCTGGCACATTGGAGTTTCCAAGCGTTTGGACCGGCCAAGAAGGCCCAGCTCGGCCACCTGTCTGACACAACTCGACTTCTTCTGTGCAAAGAGCTCCTACCAGGCGGCCGAATCTACCTCGACCCAACGACCGTCTCCAGATGCTTCAACCAATCCAAAGCTCAACCTGTAAACAAGCACACGCATGCAACTTTGCATCTTGCATGTCTGCAAGTGCTGGTCCCCTCTCAGTAGTCTCCTCTAGTGTCAAACTGTCAATTTGAGCTTTGGGGTCGCTCAAGCCCTGGGTCACAAACAATGCGCGCACAGCGCCAAACAGAGATCGAGTGATCTACCGCAAATGACAGATTATACCACTATGTCACTATGCTTCATTACCACTTGTTTCTATACTAGATAATATACGATAAATTATGATAATATGGATACGGTTGGGTACGAATCAACATCCTAACAACCCCCAAAAAATAGATGGAATACTTGCAGTGAATATAGCGGGAAATAAACCTAAACGCCTTTGGTATTCAATCGTCCTTGTGGCCCAACTTGATGAGCCATACCAAACAACCATAAAAAAAAAGAACCCTAGCCTTCAAAAACAAAAATGGTTGACTTAGTTTTTGTAGTGTATTAAAATCCGTAGTTGTTTAAAAAAACAAGGCTAAAACAAGGGTTGCCCAATAAAGACTATTAAATTCTTCGTGGTTGGGAGGCTAGGGAGAATCGTTATATTCAGTAACAACTCGTGGGATCTCGAAAATCAAAAACGGCCGCCTCGAGGAGGACGCGGACGAATGAGGAGGATTCCGACGGAAGCTGCTGGGTCGCAAGGAGGCAGAGGCCTGGGAAGAAAAGGTTGAAGGCGAACCCACCAAGGTCAGAAGCGCATCTCCTGCACCCAAATGGATGAGAAAATTGGAGGACCCATGCCATGAAGATCCCTTTCATGTTTGTATCTCTTTATCTCCTTCTTTTGGTGGGGTTGGGAGCGGGCGCCTTGAAGTTTGGCATGCCTGCCAAGTGATCTCTCCAAGCAGCTCAAGGACCACTTATCTTAGACTTGCTGAACAAGATTGAACAAGCCCATTTTCTCCCATGCTCAAAAAGCCGCCGCATCTGAGAAGTCATGGTATGCCTGTGTGGTGATCTTGACTCGTCCCCCAGATCGGATCCCAGAAATTTTGCGAGGCGCAGTGGACCAAAACAATTGGGAAAAAACCATTTACCGTTGAGGATGGCCAGTTCAGGGGCCGCCTTCGGCATCCTTCGCCCTCCATGGACTTTCCACCTCAGGTTTCTTAACTCCGCTCAAATCTCCCTAAAGGGTCTCTGGGAACAGAGTGGAGCCGGGGTCCGATGGATTAACCGGGGTCCCAAATGGACATGATGTTGAACCGGGGAGGGCACTAACCAAGCTGATTAGCTGCAGCATCTTGTATGATCTTGTATGCCAATAGGGTCCCTGTACCTTTTGAGGATGGTGTTGTAGTTGAACAAAGAATGGCCCATGGAGCTAGAAGACATCCTTAGGATGGTCCTGGACGCTTGAGGATGATGTTGTAGGTGTCTTACCTTACTTGGCCAAAACTTGAATTGATCGTCCGAAGATGTCCGAAGCCATGATTCCAACGCATTGATGAAGTGACAAGCAGGGCATCAGTGCTACTACCCCGTCACTGGTCTGCGCGCTTACCGCCACACCTCAACGGGCCAAAACAATATCTGAACCTTGAACAACCTTCTGGTTCAATTCACAAATGTTGTACAGTATTTAAGGCTTTGAGTGTTCGATGTCCACCTTACCACCTACAAACATGTGCAAATCTGGCAAAACCATTGCAAGACCGCAACATTTCACACCCAGCCCACTTCACTGATAGGTCAAACACCCCCCCCAACCTGGGAGCCACACCGCTGGCTCTTCTTCGATACCTCTCTCCGGTGTGGGCGAGGACGGCAAGGGCTCAGCATCTGCACCTCCTTGCGGCAAGGGGGGCAACAAGCCTCAGCACGAGTGGGATGACTTGATGTCAACTCTAGGGATGAAGCGAAATACATGTGAATATGAGCTTGACTGACATGTAAATTGGTTTGTGACATGTGAAGACATGTGTGTCATTCTTTGACAGCTCCCAGGTCACCGCGAGGACCGGACCCCCCCCAAACATATACATTTACAACATAAAATAGTATTTTGTTGTTAAAAGAAAAAAAATATATATTATATACAGTATATATGCATACATATGCATAGGACAAGCCCTATGAAATTGCCCTCTCATCGACCAAGAAACCATTGAGATCCATCCCTGGAATCTCTTCATACTCGTCCAACAACTCCGCCGGCATTCCCAGCGAGTGCGGCGACTCATAGTGAGTGCAGAGCGTTTCTGCTACCGTCCGCCGAAGACGGCCCTTACCATCAGCCAGGTTAATTGCAAACATGTCATGAAGAATGGAGTGGGTCACAACAAAGGCCGAGGGAGCAAGGATAACAAGTATCTGATGTTGAATTGGTTTAGGGTTTCTTATCAGTTTTGTTTGTTATGGTCAGCTGCTCAAAGACTACCGAATGAAATAGAAATGCTCAAAATAACGAAAAGCATCAAAAATGAACACACACACACCTTAAACACCGAAAGCCCTGGCCAGCCAAAGCGTAAACCAACCCAAAGAGATGCTGAAGCAACCCTAAGCACTTTGCAAAGGCTTGAAGACAAATCTGTGAGGTGTACCCAGCTTAGCCATGCAACTTCTTCGCTTGGCCCGGGTAGAGCTAGTGGAGCCAACCTGATCACAAGTCACAACGTGCGCGAGCACTCTCTCTCTCTCTCTCGCTCTGCTGACTGTCGAGCCGCCTGCCACTGTGGGCTTACCACATGGTCTGGGTTCACGAAACCTGGACCCTCATGCGCACACACAGTTCACCAGTCAATCTTACTGTTTCAACAGGTTTCCACATGCCGTATCTTCTCCCATATTCAGAGACCCAGATTCAAACAGAATATTTTCCAGCGTCCTTTGCAAATCCCGAAGATCATTAGTCATCATTAGTCGAAAGCACTGCTGACCTCAAATCCAGGATCTAGACCAATCGAACAACAGCCTGGAGGATGAGGTACTACCAGGTCAAAGAGAAAAACAAGGTGCTTGCATTCTGGTCCTGATTCTGTGTATGCCTCTCTTGGTGTGTTCTTGGCGGATTTCGGGGCACACTCACTCTGAACAAAACCAGCAAGATCAGCAAGCACACATGCAAAGGGTCAATATATGTAAAAATGTATACTGTATATATATATATATGTGCGTGTGTGAATATGATTTATCGTTTCTCTAGCCTTTTACCTGTCCAACTTCTTTTTTGGAGGTACAGTACCTCCAAAAAGGCCGGCCAGTTCATCCCGTCCTCTTCTCACCCTTCCCCCGCCTGAGTGCTTCAGACTGCATCTGCTCCTGGACAAACAGTACTTCCGCACCGCCCAAGTCCTACACCCGACTTAAGAAGTATTGTTCAGCGTTCTTGTCCGGGATATGGAATCTCAGAATTAAAGCCACATGCTGTCACATGCGGTTGGATTTGGCCGCATGTGACTTTTTGTTTGTGCCTTTCTTCTTGAGGAAGCTCGTGATTTGCAGCGTGCAATCCTTGTGAGTCCGTGTCATTCTGTATCGCTCTTCCATCGCAACTTGGACAGAACCGGAGGCTTACCTGTGCACAGAAAAGGGGCCTGTGGCTGCGGATCGGCCTTCCATAGCTTCTGCTCTAACAGCTTAGAACGCAGTTCCCCACAAACTCTGCACCAGCTCTGATTGGAACACCCCAAACCACCCCTCACCCCTGGCTGACGGAAAAAGGGAATCAATACCATCCAATACCCGATGCCCGATACCAGGCACCGCTGCTTCTTCAGTGTCCTGAATGGTCATCGGACCCTCTGTCGGGAGCTCGGCTTTGGAGTTACTTTTGCGCATCCTCAGCGGATGGGAATTATGATGATATACCTCGAACCTGAGTGACCCCTACTCTCCAGAATGTTTCTTATCAAGACGGGGGCCAGCATAAAAGCACGAAACATGCGTGTCACGGTGACATCTTTCAATTGTTTCAGCGGTCTCACCCTCGCGCACACGTGCGGCAACGCTTCGGTCTTGGCGTGGCCAGTAGCCTCGCTGAAGGCCGAGCGTCTGAGAGAAGAAGCGCAACCATTTGATCCCTCCAGGTTTTGGCCCCTGCACGCGTTCTTCGGGCGCCGAGATGCTGTTTCAGCGGGTCCGCTTTCGAACCTCTGCACCAAGTGGAACAAGCTCATCTCAGCTGATCAGATGATCATTTCTTCCCCCGAAAACATCTTTATGTCATCCTTCTCAGCCGAAGTTGCCAAGGTAGACCGGCCCTTGAAAGTCCAAGGGGTTGGAAACTGCAGTTAGTTTTCCTGATTGCAGGGGCCTTTGACAGCCATAACTACCAAGTCTTGCCCCACAAGTGCCAAAACAAATAAGCAAAACAGAGGATCCAGCAAAACGATTCCTGCGCAGGTCCGCTCAGAGGGCCGAAGTCCGGTCGCTCCAAACGGCTCAGTACGGTCGCCGTCGCGCCTGCCCACTCTCCACCATGCCGTGCCGAGGCTGTTCGGTCCCGGTTCGGCTGGAGCCGAGAGGTCCAGGCCATCCACCGGTGACGGTACGAAACTGGTGGTTGAACTGACTTCCATGCTAGCGAGTCGGAGGCTACCCTTGACTGACACACTCCCTTGCACCCATAGCTCCTGCAAGTCCCTTTCTCAAGTTAGTCACGCAGTGTTCGATCACGTTCGGGACACCTTCGAAAATCAACAAGTGCGTTTCAAACGTCTTGGGCAGCCACCCTGCGGTCTTGATGGCTTTCCGCACCGCATCTTTGGTGCATTGGTGGTTGTAGAGGGTTACCACCTGCGAAAGGAATTCGTGAAATAAAACACTGAATCGTAGATCAGGAATTCAGACCTTGTAGGAAAATCAATCGATTGGAATTGGGATTGGGTCGGATTAGGATTTGCTTGGGTTTGGACTGATAATAGAAAATGCAAATACCAAGGCGAACTCAAAATAAAGAGCAACCTGCAGCAACGCATTCCAAAACATACATGAATACTAATACAAACGCCTGCTGCGTCCAATATGAGAGGGCTTCGGGTCTCCATGAAAATGTAACTTCGTGTTGAGGGCAGGTAAGGACATGGGTGAGCTTTATTAGTTGCCCCTATGTTTGCATAATTGCATGCTACAGATGTCCATCCAAATACGCCGGAACTGGCCTCGTGGACTCCACATTGTCTTGCCTCGTGGACGTGACGCATTGTGCATCCCAGATTCCATGAGGGGTCAAGGCACCCGGATGCTGCATGGCCCCCCCTCAAAAAGAATGCTCTGGTTGAAATAGACCTGAGACTAGAAAAGGGCCCGTTGGATGACCATTTGCCTCTACAAACATGCCGTTTTCCACTCCCTTGATTATTTCAAACAGTGTAGGTGTGATAGATGAAACAAAAATAGATAAATAGATAGATAAACAGAAATGATAGATAAATAGGCAAACACCCAAGCAAACAGAGATAGAGGTAGATAGATATATGAAAAATGATGGATGGACAAATACATCCATCCATCCATCCATACGTACGTACATACGCACATTACCGCATACGGACATAGTTATACATTAAACATTACACTATTGCACTAATACATTACATCCATTACATTACATTAAAATTACATCATTGCATTCTATAAACCTTTGTACAAACATACAAGAATACGCACAGACAGACAGACAGACAGACCGACCGGCAGGCAGGCAGGCAGACCGACAGACAGACAGACACAGACAGACACAGACACAGACACAGACACAGACACAGACACAGACACAGA